TCAAGAACGGGTCGGTCTACTGGCAGAAACTTCAAACACAAGGAAATTTATTAAATTCTTAGACCGACTATGAAAAGTAAACTTTAATGTCGGCCCATACAAAAACCCAAGATTTAATTCAGCCTGGCCCGGGAAAAGACCAAGCTGTAATAATCCTACATATTTTTGGATCGAAGACGATTAGTCATTTGATTAGATGAATAATGAATTGCTTTCAAATGATTAGGACAAAACCCTGATTAATGATATGCTGGTTAACACTAAAACCTTGTTTGAAAAAGTCAAGTGATCTTAAATATACTATTATTAAAAGTTTGGTCAATTACGAAAACATTTCTCTACCATTTGGTCAAAGTATACGGTTCTAAAGTCTCTGTGCAAAGTCGATTCCTGAAACTAATCAGATCTCGAATGGCAAAATTTGGACTGAAAGAGGTAAACCTTGAATCGAAATGGTAAAGGACTAACCTTTCTCAAAGTGCACGTAGCCTTGGTCATCGTTAATGGAACAGGAGGAATTGTGAGGCTTGTCTTGACATAGACACCGGAAATTTCCCGACTCTGACTCCGAACCACAAATCCCACTGGAACTGGAACAATCAAGGCAAATCTTATCTTCTATAGTGTACCTCAATTCGAATCCTTTTCGTAAAGCCATCTTCAATGTTTCATTCGAGTGGAGAAGATCGTCCTTAGCAGAACGAAGCATCGGAATTTCTCCAACCTTGAAACAATTTCGGGGAGGAATAGATGATCCAAAGACAAGATATGTCGTACTCCAGCTTTCGTTGCTGTGTTGACAAGTAATCCTTGACGACACCGATATTGGCTGGTGAGTACCGTTGCACTGAAAGAGATCGATCGTTTCGGTGGTAGGGGTTTTTGTGAACTGATCATCTCCGTTAAAGTTCATAATCTGTGGGCAGCGACCCTCGCGCAAACTCTCATCTGCTACGGTGATTGACTTATCATCCGGTTTCACAGAAACAACGCGAAGTTTGAGATTCCGGATCTCTAGCGTTAGGATTTGATTATCCTTGCAGGAAAGCTCGAACTCTTTTTGCCCACAGAAATTTGGTTTGCCGAGTTCATTGCCCCAGAACGGGTAAGTGGTGTTGTTCGGGAAAACCTCAGATCCACATATCGGAGGCGATAAGCACTGCTCGTACTGTTGATCGACGGAGAAACACGACGGGAAGCGAGCGACGGAGAAGAAGACGGAGATTGTGAGGAGAATAGAGATGGACATT